ACATCATCGACGCAGCGAACGTCGAAGGAAGACACGAATTGCGGTCACCGGTCCTTTTGGCCCAGTTCGTACCATCTATTTGGGGGAAAACCCGATTTTCACTTGAGAACCCTTTGAAGACGTGCGTCACGTGGGGACAAATGGAGAAGGCTCTGCAGACAGACGGAGCTGAAAATGCATCAGTCACAGAACATGTCCGTCTTCCTTCGGTTTGCGGGCCAGTCAAATGAGACAATCGGCTCGGCTTTTCGTGTCGCCGCCAAGGCCACTCTCTCTCACTCCCTCTTGCCTGCGCCAGTCTGGCTGACAGAAACGTCTGCACACTTCGAGACAAGTAACCTCGGTTACGCAACCGTCTGCATCTCACCACGAACGCCACTTCTCCACGAGACCCGATGGACAAAAGCTTGCTCTTTTGCGAGCAAGAATGAGGATGCCAGCCAGCAAATGCCGTGCCGACGCTGCGCAGTGCAGCCATGGGACCACCAGCGCAAGACGCGATGTGGCAACGGCGCGATGGAGTGGGGCGGCTGGATGTCGCGTTAAGTGAGGGTCGCTGGGACAGAGGCGATGGCGCACAGGCAGGAGGGCAACCACGACCACGAGGTTGTGGATGTATAAAGGCAGACGAGCGGTGCCGACACCAACTGAACACGAACAGAAAGAATCGCCAAAGTGCAATGGAATGCACCCACTGTCGGTGCACTTACGACGGCGTTGACATGTCCATTTTGAGCTTCACACGTGGACCTGCCGAGAGAGTGCACTGGACGCAATTGCATCGCCCAGGGAGAGTGCTGAGCTCACTTGTGTTTCGACAGAAAGTGCGCGAGATTCGTAGATTTCAGACGAGAACCACGACGGTGGACTGCTGTAGCTTGACTCTACTGACGCCTTCTGATGGTCGTTGTCCACGAAGCAATATACTTAGGTTCCTGTGAAAAAAAACCAAGCTTTCATCCATCACATGACGGCCAACCTGTGCATCTTATGAGATGTATTGGGGTGATTTGGCTAGTCCAAGTCATATGCCAATCTGTAGGATGAGTGTGTGTGGGTTTGTATGTATGT